CTCGTCTGGGCTGCTTCGGCTCCTGCTGATTCCATTGATGGTGTGTAATTCTGTCAGGGCGTGTTGTAGGTGTAATGTAGGAATCAAACGCAGGACTCAGACTGAATGTTCCAAAGGCTGTATTACTGGCCAAACTAAGGCAACAGGACAACTTAGCCCGAAAGCGAAAAAACACGCACGAAGGCGAAAGGTAATTGCGCACAAACAGGTGCGACAAAAATGTAACTGTGCACACACAGGTGCGAAAATGCTCCAGCACAGTGGAGAAAAAGCTCAACCGAGCAAAACACAAAACTGACGGAAATAATTACACACAACACTAGACAAACACAACGAGAAACTTATAGGACACTAATTACGCGAAAACAGAAACAGGTGTGGAAACAAACAGACAAAAGCAAACGAACATGAAACATATAGCGGTGGCAGCTAGAATTCCGGAGACGACGAACGCCGAAACCTGCCCGAACAAGGGAGAGAGGCAGCCTCGGCCGAAACCGTGACAGAATCAATGTGTATATATTATTAATTTATAAATCCAAAATTGGATGTAGCAACTACAGATTGCCCCTTTAAGTTTATCAAAATTACAGGAGTTTGAGCAAGTGTCATTTAGGCCAATGGACATTTATTGAATCAGCACAAATTAGATTGAGCAATAAAGGCGCACTCGTGGTCTTCTTAAATTCAACTAGTTTTTGACAGTATGGAGCACAATACCACAGAGTAGTTTAGAAGGTAGGCACTCCCCTCAAACGTTTATTCCATAGGCTGTGATCTGAACTATGCAGTTGTTGCAAGAGCACATTTTTCTTTGGTCGCTGTGAAAAAGTATTTCCCCCTTTCGAATTTCTCTACTTTTGCATATTTTTGAATTTTTTTATGTTATCAGATTTTCAACCAAAACCTAATATTAGATAAAGGGAACCTGAGTGAACAAATAGCACAACAATTACATACTTATTTCATTTATTTCATGAACAAAGTTATGCAACACCCAATGCCCCTGTGTGAAAAAGTACTTGCCCCCTTACAGTCAATAACTGGTTGTGCCACCTTTAGCTGCAATGACTCCAACCAAACACTTCCTGTAGTTGTTGATCAGTCTCTCACATCACTGTGGAGGAATTTTGGCCCACTCTTACATGCAGAACTGGTTTAACTCAGTGACATTTGTGGGTCCTGCCACAATATCTACATTGGGATTAGGTCTGGACTTTAACTAGGCCATTCCAAAACTTCAAATGTGTTACTTTTTTGCCCTTTTCATGTAGATTTGTGATTGTGTGTTTTGGATCATTGTCTTGCTGCATGACCCAGCTGCGCTTCAGCTTCAGCTTCAGCTCACAGACGTATGGCCTGACATTTTCCTGTAGAATTCTCTGATACAGAACAGAATTCATGGTTCCTTCTATTAAGGCAAGTCGTCCAGGTCCTGAGGCAGCAAAGCATCCCCAACCATCACACTACCACCCCCATGCTTGACCGTTGGTATAAGGTTCTTACTGTGGAATGCTTTTCGCCAGGCATAATGGGACCCATGTTGTCCAAAAAGTTATACTTTTGACTCATTGTCCATAGAACATTCTTCCAAGAGTTTTGATGATCATCCAGGTGCTTCCAGGTGCTTTTTGGAAAACTTGAGTCAACTTTTTGGAAGAGATGGGTCCCATTATGTCTGGGTCAAACACACAATCAGGTCTACATGAAAATGGCTAGAAAGTAACACATTTTACGTTTTGGAATGGCCTAGACAAAGTCCAGACGTAATCCTAATTGAGATGTTGTGGCAGGACTTGAAATGAGCAGTTCATGATTGAAAACCCACAAAATCCCTCCACAGCGATGTGAGAGACTGATTTTGGTTGCAGTCATTGTAGTTAAAGATGGCACAACCAGGTATTGAGTGAAAGGGGGCAATTACTATTTCACATAGGGGAATTGGATGTTGCATAACTTTATTAATTAAATAAATAAAATAAGTATCTATTTTTTGTTATTTGTAAACTCAGGTTCCCATTATCTAATAATAGGTTTTGGTTGAAGTTCTGATAACATTCAGTATCAAAAATATGCAAAAATAGAGAAAATGTAGAAGGGGGGCAAATACTTTTTCACGACACTGTATACGTTTGTGAACAGCCCTCCACAACAAGAGCTAAATGAGAGAGCAGCTGTATGATTCACATCAAAGCGCTATGTAGATATCAATAATAAGTGATATCCGTATCGCCCGTAGGTTGCACCACTTCTGTCGTCCTTACCACCAACTTTATTCAAGTTGGCCAATCTTTGGATGTCGACAGCAGTCGCACCATTGGAAGACATAGCTTGGACTGTAGCCTACCCAAAAGCCTATTCCTGCTCTTTTTCCGCGATTCATCAAACGCATTTGGTGTGTCATCATAGTGGTCTCATAGTAATCAGACTCGCTCAGGCGGAACAAACTTGCACCTTTTTACAATGCTGATTTGAATGTAATTTCTCAAACATCCTTTCTGAATTTAAAAGTAATCTTAGAAGTAATAATCTATTTTTTTTAAGTATCTGTAATTTGATTGCAATACTTTTGCTGGTAACGTAACAGTTACAGTTTTTTTTTGTAATTCATTACATGTAACAGATTACATTTAACAGACGCTCTTATCCAGAGCGACTTACAGTTAGTGAGTGCATACATTTTCATACTGGCCCCCTGTGGGAAACGAACCCACAACCCTGACGTTGCAAGCGCCATGCTCTACCAACTGAGCTATTGGGGATTACATGCAATCCATTACTCCCCAACCCTGCTCATATACTGTCTGTGATACTGATATGCAGTGGCGGCTCCTGAAAAAATTCTCAGGGGGGGCAATTTTTCTGATGATTTAGGTGACCTACACACATTTTAAAAAAGATATGTCCAGCAACAACATGAAGACAGGGGCAGCATATAAGTCAATACCAGAAGCATTTATTGACTGATCTCAAAAGTGTTGGCTTACCAGGGTTGGTGGAGCCCTCAGTTTCATCTTTGCCTCGCAAAGCTAACTCAAACACTCCGCAAAACTTGTCCACCAGTATCTGTCTTTTTATCTCACGTTGTACATCTCTTAAAGCCTGTCTATCACCCCCAGCATAAACTGCCTTCTTCCTATCAAGTAGTGATTTTAGATGTTTTGATACCCAAGGCTTGTTGATAGGGAAGATTTTACAGGTCTTAGTAGGCACAACTGACTCAACACAGAAGTTTACATAGTCTGAAATAACCTCTGTGAGTTCATCCAGATCAGAGCTGCTGTCCTCAAATACCTCCCACATTGTACAGTCAAAACACCCCAAGTGATACTGTTGTCATTCCAGATCTGGACAGTTTTAACTGTGGGTTTCTCCCTCTCCAGGAGGCGACAGTAAATTGGCCTGAAGTAGACCACATTGTGGTCTGATGTCCCCAGAGGAGGTCTGGTGGTGGCAGAGAACGCCTTTGGTATTGTCCCATAGCACAAATCAAGAGTCCTATTTTTCCTAGTGTGACATTTCACATACTGATGGTATGTGCACAAGACTTTGTGCAAGGTACAGTTGTTAAAATCCCCTAAAATAAATGTGGGTGCGTCGGGGGAGATGGATTCCAGTTTCTGTGACAGATTATAAATAATCTCTGATGCCTTTGTTATATTAGCTTTTGGTTGAATGTACACAACGGTAACAAACAATGGGGGAACTCACGGGGCAGATAGTAAGGTCGCAGTGACACAGAAAGCAGTTCAATGTCGGGGGTACAGAGTCGCTCTCTTACCAGGATCGATTTACACCACTGGTCGCTGACAAGCAGGCAGACGCCCCCGCCGTGAAGTTTCCCTGTGACTGTCAGATCGCGGTCCGCTCTGACCAGGGTGAAGCCGGCCGGCTCCACTTCTCTGTCCGGGACTCTGTCATCCAGCCAAGTCTCAGTAAATGCCAGCAAACAGGCCTCCCGATATTCGTGTTGGAAGCGCAGATTCGCTGACAACTCATCCGCTTTCCCCCTCAGTGACTGGGCATTAATCAGCAAGGTGGTGGGTAAGGGAAGTTTGTTCTTAATTTTTTTTAAGTCGTTGTCTGATTCCCCCGCGTTTTCCACGTTTGCATTTGGGTTTGTAATCCACTCGCAGACAATCAGGTATTAGATGGGCCATTGGGATATCCATCGCGTTCGTATTTGAGTTGCATTGTAGTAAAAACTCCCTGCTGTATTGGATTCCGCTGCCAGCAGCGTTTTCATTATTTAGTCCGTTCGTAGCGGGTATGTACACGATCAACAAGATCAGTCCAACACCGTGACCCCACCACTGGAAATCCATGGTTGGCAGAATGTTTGTAAACTAAGTGTACAAATTAAAAACATAAAATAACGCCACTAAGTGTACAAATTAAAAACATAAGATTAAAAACATAAGATAACGCCACACCAAACGTCACACACACTGCAGGTCGCAACAGAGACGCTGCTACCCGCTCTTTTCTTAGTTACGTTCATGGTTACGTTACGTATGACGAAAGCGCGTAAGTGCAAGCCCTCAGACACCCATAGAGATTGTATTGAAAGCTCTGAAATTTGAAAAAAATAGATTTTACATGGGAGTCTATGACAGACTTCTGGGCGATTTTCAACCTGACTGAAATCGCCCCAAAAGGGGGGGTGGCCATTTGAAGCACGACTTTAGCCTGATTGGACATTTAGTGGCAGTGTGGCACTGTGGCAGATCAGACGTCTAGATTACAACACTGATAACTACTGTTGCCGTGATATAATTGATTAGAAAAAAAATCCCTTCCTTTTCCCGTTTGGCAGTGCGTCGCCCATATCGCCCTATTGAACACACCGCCCCTGCTGATATGTGATGCTTGATTGTGTGTCTGTCCTTCTTCTTGGTTAACAGAGTAACAAGCTGGAGAAGATCCCGTCAGGGGTGTTTGATACCCTGACCCAGCTCAGAGAGCTCTACCTACAGAACAACTTGCTCAGCAACGAAGGCATGGACAACGAGACCTTCAGGTAATGTAGTAGTACTGTATTAGTATTCTAGTATTACTGTAGGACTATTCTAATAGTACTGTAGTACGTAGTACAGCATGGATGATAAGACCTTCAGGTACTGGAGTACCTGTTACGGTCAATTTGCAGGATATTAAGACACACTAACAAACAAACACACTCAACAGAGAGCCATTCAGTTCTTCTATTCTTCCTCTTCTTCTAAGTTGATTCGATATATCTGAGGCCACCTGTTACATTAAAACTGAGGTTATTGATTCAAAACAAAGACCTATAGACTTTACAACACAAGCCAATGTAAGGCATTGACAATGAGACCTTCACGTACTGTAGTAGGAAGAGTGTGTCGGGTGTTCTTGAATTCTCCATATTGGATCTTATAACCAACGTTTCAGTCAATAGATAAGACATTCACCAGGGTTCTTTTAAAAAATATGCTTTACTGCGAACTACAAACTACTCTCCTTTTAAGTGTAGAACACTCAGACACACAAACACTCTCGACAGAGTCATTCAGTCACTCTACCTGAGTGCAGTTGATTCGATATATCCAAGGTTGAACACTATCACTGTTGCCCATTATGTATCAATGGCTATAACAGAGTGCATCAATTTAAAACAAAGACCTATAGACTTGACAACACGCCAATCTATGAGAAGGTACATAAGGGAATGGTGAGTTGAGTGTCGACTTGTTACTTTCGATGTATGAGTATTGATCTCATGTTCAGTTCAGCTCACAAAGCACAGTATGAACTGGAAAGCCCCTTGGCCATCAGAGAGAGTGAGAGAATAAAGTGGTGTGAGTGTGAGAGTAAGAGAGTGAGAGAGAGAGTGAGAGAATGAGAGAGAGAGAGAGAGAGAGAGAGAGAGAGAGAGAGAGAGAGAGAGAGAGAGAGAAAGCCAGTGGTGAGAGGTTGAACTGGTACATTCTGAGAAAATGTCAAAATGGGAGAGAAAAATGAGATTTGTCTATTCATGGAGAGATAACAAGAAGACGTTTAAAGATAAAGGGATGACCTCACCTCTCCTGTATCAAATATAATGTCACCCTCTCCTCTCCTCTCCTCTCCTCTCCTCCTCTACTCTTCCATCTCCTCTCCCCTCTCAGCAAGTTGACCAGTCTGGAGTATCTGGACCTGTCCAACAACAACCTGAGTGTGGTTCCTCAGGGTCTGCCCAGGAGTCTGATATTGCTACACCTGGAGAGGAACAGTATCCGCAGTATCCCTGGCGATGCCCTCACAGCCTGCCGTAACCTTGAGTACCTACTGCTGCACAACAACCAGCTTCGCTCCCACTCCATACACCATGCTGCATTCCAGGTAGGCCAACAGCGCTGCAGGATACTTGGGATATTTCAATCTTATATAGAGGGCTATAGGATATACTGCGGATAGTTGAATCCCCACAGGTGTATCCGGCTCGAAGGTCCATGAAAAATATTCTAAATATAAAGCCTGATCTGACAGCTAGTTCATTATGTATCTCTGTTAAATGAGCCATGAGAAATCTGAAATGTGCTATGAAATGCCATTACAATTACATGAAAATGTTCACATAAAGAGTTTTCTCTTCTCGCCAGGGCCTGAAGAAGCTACACACCCTCCACATGTACAACAACCAGCTGGAGCGTGTCCCCAGGGCTCTGCCCCGTCGAGCCAAGACACTCATGCTGCTTCACAACACAATCAATGAGATCGGACGCAACGACCTGGTCATTCTCTACACCCTGACCGAGCTCAACCTCAGTTACAACCGCCTCACCAGCCCCAAGCTACACAAAGAGGGTACACTGGACCCTATATGGAGTATATGGAAATGTTGTGTTGTGTTTTGTTGTATTGTGTTGTACTTTGCTGTGCTGTCATCTACATGAATACTGTACATCTACAGTAGAACTATATGTGGCTCTTGCACACATGTTTGAGATTAACTGTACAGTACTTTTGTCTATATGATTATCTATATTTGGTCCTGCTGTATGACACATAAATAATTTCCTAACAGATACAGTGACGTTATCATCAAATAACTGATATGTCAGCATATAACTACATTTAACTACAATGATTTTTGTATCTAGTTTTTCTATTTCGACATATTGTAATGAGACCATGTTGATAATCATCCAGCCTTCAGGAAGCTGCGTCTGCTGGAGACCTTGGACCTGTCAGGGAATGCCCTCCACTTTCTGCCCCTGGGCCTGCCCCGCTCCCTGCAGGTCCTCCGGGTGAAGGACAACCAGCTGACCTCCATACCAGAGGGGGCACTGCAGGGCATGGCCAAGCTCAGGAACATCAACCTAAGCCACAACCAGCTTAGACTCAACTCCATCTACCAGGGAGCATGGATGGAGCTCAGTGCTCTGACGGTGAGACTGGGGGCAGGGGAGTGTGTGTGTGGGGGGGGAGGGGTGATGCATGTTGAGGGAGAGAGAGGATGCATGTTGCCTGTGCCCCCCACCAGTCCCCCCCACCCATGTTTCAGTGAAAACACACAAGTAACACTTACAGGTTTTCTGTGTGATAAAGCTGGCTGTTGGCGCTGTCCGTCATTTGTTGGACCTGTTGGTTAGCACTCAGACGGTGTAAAGAGGGATTTATAAATACAGTGATTGATTTGATTGATGTGTTCCTCCAGACGTTGGACCTGTCCAGTAACCAGCTGTCCCATGTTCCGTCTGACCTGCCTGAGTCTCTGGAGTACCTGTATCTGCAGTCCAACCACATCAGCACTGTCCCCGCCACCACCTTTGAGGGCACGCCCAACATCAAGGGCATCTTCCTACGGTGAGAGACTGGACACTAATGCACGAACGCACACTCAGAAACACACACACACCTGAACCCATTTCTTGGTTCAAACCCACAGCTCATGTAAGTACCAAATTCAATTGTGAGTACCAATCACTTACAGTAGATATGTGAATTAATACACTCTATCAAATCAGTATATACACGCACTCTCACTTATGTTATTATAGAACAGTAATTAAACCATCATTCAACTCCTGACCCTTTCCGTTAACTCCCAAACCCAGCAGAACACTCTCCTCTCCACTGTTCCATCCGTGTCTGTAGCATTGTTTCTGAATGAGACATTTTTGGCCTTCTACTCAGCTCATATCATCACTCCATTCGTTCATCCTCTGTTGTGAGTGTGTGACTAAGTCCTATTGATTGATGCCAACTGTAAGACAGAGCCACATATCCCCTAGTCAACTGAGTCCCAGGCTGCATCCAATGGCACCCTATTCCCTATATAGTGCACTACTTTTGACCAGAGCCCTACTCAAATTTAGTGCACTATACAGGGAATAGGGTGCCAATATCTGTATTTGGTTGATAGTTCCCTCGTTATCCTTACTAAGTTTATTTTCCGTTTGGATCCAACCTACTCTGCTCTGCTGTGTGCGTGTGTTTGTTTGTGTGTGTGTGCGTGCGTGCGTACGTGAGTGCAAGCGTGTGTGTGTCTGCGTGTGGTGTGCTGTGCTGAGAAGACTGTTGCAGAGGAGGGAGCTGATGATGGAATAAGTTGTATTCCTGCTCTACTTCTGCGCTGACTGCACTCATTAAAATCCCTTACACAGATACACTATGTATATTACCCATCAGGTGTTGTTGGTTTGTAGGGCGGCAGCTAGCTTAGTGGTTAAGAGCGTTGTACCAGTAATCGAAAGGTCGCTGGCTCTAATCCCCGAGCCGACTAGGTGAAAAATCTGTCAATGTGCCCTTGAGCAAGGCACTTAAACCTAATTTCTCCTGTAAGTCGCTCTGGATAAGAGTGTCCGCTAAATGACTAAAATGTAATTAACTCTCTTAATTATCTGGTTGGGTTATGAAATGTAAATTATTTCAATAAATCAGGTATTTTGCCAAATTAAAGTCATGATTTCCTTTGTGTCGACATTCTTGTTCAGCAGGCTGTTTTGCTCTCTTGGAAGGAGGAATATGCAGGATATAACAGAACAGAACCCATGGTGGTAAAGTTTCAGAAATATTCCCCACTGTGTCTAGATCTGTTTCTTGGCTAGTTGATGCTCCGCTGCTTTTCCAATTAATTAAATCAAGTCAATGATTGGATTTCTAACTAAAACAGCTTGGATCTGCCAAGTTGTTTTCTTTTAGTTTCCTTCCTTCTGTCCCCTTCTGACCTCTTCTTTTTCTGCAGGGCGGGCTGGGTCCCAACACTCTAAACCAGCAAAATCATTGTCTCCTCATCTACTTGTATCATTTCCTTTTGCTACCACTGATCTGAATATTTACTAGTGTATGAAGCTAGGTTAGTATCAGTTTCCATCATATTAATATTTGTACTTACATGTAGAACTCTAATCATTTCAGGTCAGTTTGGCCAGCGGTCAGTTTGGAAAGCAAACCATCCAAGACCGTTGGGACGCTGCCCTGAGGTTTTGTCGGTTTGGTTTTGCGGAGTCTAATTGACCACTTTATCGGATAATGAACTTTACAGACCCTGACCCCGTCCAGCCCACTCTCTCCGTTCGGCCTGTTGGTCTCTTCATGCTGTGGGCTCAGCCTCAGCAGCATCTGCTGCAGTATCACAGCAGTTAGGAACACTTGTTTTTCCACCAAATCCCAACACATCTGGGAGCTGCTGGCCTGAGCCAATTACAGCCTATCTGGAATGCAGCATGGCCTCAGTGGGGGAGGGGAGGTGGATTTGTGTGTGTGTGCACATCTATTTGAGTCTGTTTAGCCTATGCCTGCATCTGTTTACATTGAGTGTGTGAATATAAATGTGTGCGTATGTGAGTGTGCCCGCACATGCGTGAGTATGCAGCATGTGTGAGTGTCTGGGTCAGATAATGAGTGAATTAGAAACTAAGATGGGTCGGATTCACTGACACTCAAGACGTCATAGATTCTGAAGACAGTGGAAAATTGGCTTGATTCGGATAACATGGCCTTATTTCCCCTTGATGCAGTATAGGGAGTGCTCACTAACTTAATAGAACTGTGAATGGAAGGCAAACAGACACTCTAATTAGCTGAATTACTGAATCTCAGCATCTGATTTGTTTACACCACATGTTGTGTCGGTCCTTATGGACAATATTCACATCAGATTGGTTCTTATAATATGCTGGTTCAGATTCTAAACACAGCATCCTATCAGTTAGCAGCTCTTGCTGTGCTGGTTTACACATCAAACTCAAGCATCTGCTCAGTCATCATCACATATTGGGAATTTGACTACTAACCTTTACTATGTCTCCCTCTCAGGTTCAACCGTCTGTTAGCCCACTCTGTGAAGGAGAGCTCCTTCAAACACCTGACCAATCTGCAGGTGCTGGACATCGGCCACTCGAGCCACTCGGACCCCTCCGGATCCTCCTCCAGACGAGAGGAAGAGAAGGAGGAAGAGATGGAGATGATGGAAGAGGAAGAAGGATTCACTTCATAAGTTTATTCCATGGACACAAGCTGCTTAAATGATCTGAACCAAATGTTGCAGTTGTTTAGGCTGCAATCCCAAAGTCATGCTCTTTTGAAAGTACAGAAAACCGTATTTTTGCAATAGGTCAGGCTCAATTCTAAAATGTCAATTGAACTATGAGTGGAGGCATAAAGTGGTATTTCTTCCCATATAGTGGTGAATAGACGATGCACATATCTCTGGTGCAGGATACCAGATAAAATTATATTTTTGTTTGTTGTATTACTTTTCTGGGCTTTGCTTGTCTATTCAATGACAGATACGGTTGCGTTTCTGCACTTGAGTCTTTGCTTGCATCCCAAATGGCACTCTATTCCCTATTGAGTGCACTACTTTTGACCAGGGCCTATACATTTCTGGTCGAAAGTAGTGCACTATATAAGGAATAGTGTGCCATTTGGGACAGAGCCTTTGTCTCACCACCACTTTAGTGGAATCAGAAAGGAAAAGACAGTCAGATCTGTCATATGTTGATCATACTGTATGGGTCCCATCTCTGAACTTTACTGTATGCTAGCTGTGTCACCTTACAAAGAAGATTATGTCAAGATTTGAAGTTATTGTCATCAGTTCTGAGCCTGTATTCATACTGTAAAGCGTCTCAGACTAGGAGTGCTGATCTAGGATTAGGTCCCTCTCTCTTATTCATTATGGTCTAAAAGGATAAACTGATCCTAGATCAGTATTCCTACTCTGAGATGCTTTGTGAATATGGGCCCTGGTTGTGGCTTTATGCCATTCTGTCATTCTTATATCATCGTTATTATGCCACAAGTTCTGTGACCGTGTCACAATCTCCTCTCTCTTAGCCTACCAGGAGCTTGATCCATGCTGTTAATGTAATGCCTTGCTTTAATCCAGTATTATTTTACGAAGACTGCAAATATTTGTATATGCTATCTGATAAACTATTAATTTAATCACGTTCTATGTATTGCACCTTCAGATTTATACATAAGGATTTCACACAGCAATTAATTATTGGAAAAATCATTAAATATTTAAAGTATTTTCCTTTACATCGATGGAAAAATAAATATAAATATCATGCATTAACAGGTTTTTGAGCACACAACAATATTAAGTGTGAAATGTATATACAATGCCAGCGTATAAACAAAAACATTGAGCAAATAGAAATCATGACATAATTTATATAAAATATGAGACAGTCCAGAACAGATGTTGAGATTGTTTCACAATACTTTTCAAGGGTCACATGTTGAAGGAATCCAACTATTACAGTGGGGGAAAAAAGTATTTAGTCAGCCACCAATTGTGCAAGTTCTCCCACTTAAAAAGATGAGAGAGGCCTGTAATTTTCATCATAGGCACACGTCAACTATGACAGACAAAATGAGGGAAAAAAATCCAGAAAATCACATTGTAGGATTTTTTATGAATTTATTTGCAAATTAGGGTGGAAAATAAGTATTTGGTCAATAACAAAAGTTTCTCAATACTTTGTTATATGCCCTTTGTTGGCAATGACACAGGTCAAACGTTTTCTGTAAGTCTTCACAAGGTTTTCACACACTGTTGCTGTTATTTTGGCCCATTCCTCCATGCAGATCTCCTCTAGAGCAGTGATGTTTTGGGGCTGTCGCTGGGCAACACGGACTTTCAACTCCCTCCAAAGATTTTCTATGGGGTTGAGATCTGGAGACTCGCTAGGCCACTCCAGGACCTTGAAATGCTTCTTACGAAGCCACTCCTTCGTTGCCCGGGCGGTGTGTTTGGGATCATTGTCATGCTGAAAGACCCAGCCACGTTTCATCTTCAATGCCCTTGCTGATGGAAGGAGGTTTTCACTCAAAATCTCACGATACATGGCCCCATTCATTCTTTCCTTTACACGGCTCAGTCGTCCTGGTCCCTTTGCAGAAAAACAGCCCCAAAGCATGATGTTTCCACCCCCATGCTTCACAGTAGGTATGGTGTTCTTTGGATGCAACTCAGCATTCTTTGTCCTCCAAACACGACGAGTTGAGTTTTTACCAAAAAGTTCTATTTTGGTTTCATCTGACCATATGACATTCTCCCAATCCTCTTCTGGATCATCCAAATGCACTCTAGCAAACTTCAGATGGGCCTGGACATGTACTGGCTTAAGCAGGGGGACACGTCTGGCACTGCAGGATTTGAGTCCCTGGCGGCGTAGTGTGTTACTGATGGTAGGCTTTGTTACTTTGGTCCCAGCTCTCTGCAGGTCATTCACTAGGTCCCCCCGTGTGGTTCTGGGATTTTTGCTCACCGTTCTTGTGATCATTTTGACCCCACGGGGTGAGATCTTGCGTGGAGCCCCAGATCGAGGGAGATTATCAGTGGTCTTGTATGTCTTCCATTTCCTAATAATTGCTCCCACAGTTGATTTCTTCAAACCAAGCTGCTTACCTATTGCAGATTCAGTCTTCCCAGCCTGGTGCAGGTCTACAATTTTGTTTCTGGTGTCCTTTGACAGCTCTTTGGTCTTGGCCATAGTGGAGTTTGGAGTGTGACTGTTTGAGGTTGTGGACAGGTGTCTTTTATACTGATAACAAGTTCAAACAGGTGCCATTAATACAGGTAACGAGTGAAGGACAGAGGAGCCTCTTAAAGAAGAAGTTACAGGTCTGTGAGAGCCAGAAATCTTGCTTGTTTGTAGGTGACCAAATACTTATTTTCCACCATCATTTGCAAATAAATTCATTAGAAATCCTACAATGTGATTTTCTGGATTTCTTTTTCTCAATTTGTCTGTCATAGTTGACGTGTACCTATGATGAAAATTACAGGCCTCTTTCATCTTTTAAGTGGGAGAACTTGCACAATTGGTGGCTGACTAAATACTTTTTCCCCCCCACTGTAACTGTGTCAAAAATGGCAATCTTTTTTTCTATGGGGTCCTGGTCAAAAGTGGTGCATGATAGGGAATAGTGTGCCATTTCAGACACAATAGTAGAAATGGCTCAAATGACACAGGTCAATGAAGTCTGTCTCCAGCCTGCCTGTCTCCCAGCATGGAGATCTATAGACAAGTGATGTTCTTTATCCTCCTGCTATTTACCCTTATGCAGGACCAGCTTTAACCTTTTGGGGGCCCTAAGCGAGATTTAGTTTGGGGCCCCCCACCTCGCAGCAAAACATTTCAGTGGCCCCCCACTTGACGGTGGAGAGACACATTTTTGTTCTAAAGTTCATTTCCTGCAATTCTACCAGAGGTGGCACCACAGGTCCCAGAGTGGTGAATTATTTAGCTGGGGCCCGTAGCTTTTCCTGATCTGATAACCTAACCAGGTAAAACTCCAGACCTTATATGATATGACGTGATTAATCAGTTGTAAAAAAGTTTAATATGGGTTATGATGAGACAAGAGCTTTTCTAATTACAGTGCCTTCTGAAAGTATTCACACCCCTTGACGTTTTCCACATTTTGTTGTGTTACAGCCTGAATTTAAAATAGATTAAATTGAGATGTTTTGTCACTGGCCTACACACAATACCCAAGTGGAATTATGTTTGTAGACATTTTTACAAATTAATTAAAAATGAAATGCTGAAATGAGTATAAGTGTTCAGGTCCCAATGCCAAGAGTGTGCAAAGCTGTCATCAAGGCAAAGGGTGGCTATTTGAAGAATCTCAAATATATAGTATATTTTGATGTGTTTAACACTTTTTGGGTTACTACATGATTCCATATGTGTTATTTCATAGTTTTGATGTCTTCACTATTATTCTACAATGTAGAAAATAGTAAAAATAAAGAAAAACCCTTGAATAAAACTTTTGACCAGTAGTGTAGATGTGCGCTGGAGGGCAGGTGGCAGGAGCGCGTTCCCTCTCCAGAGCCTGGCGGATGTCCACATCTACGTCCCAAAATATGGGGCCAACGATATGGGAGGACCGCTTGATGGGCTGGAGGATACTCAGAGGACCCTCCAACCGACGTGGAACCACAGGATGCGGCAATAAAATTGTAGTAAAATGCTTGTGTTTCTAGCTCCAACAGTGCAGTAATATCTAACAAGTAATATGTACCAATTTCACAACATATACCCAATACACACAAATCTAAGTAAAGCAATGGAATTAAGAATATGTAAATAAATATATGGACGAGCAATGTCCAGTATATACAGTATATACACATATGAGATGAGTGATACAAGATATGCAAACATTATTAAAGTGACTAGTTTTCCATTTATTAAAGTGGCCAGTGATTTCTAATCAATGTATATAGGCAGCAGCCTCTAATGTGATAGTGAAGGCTATTTAACGGTCTGATGGCCTTGAGATAGAAGCTGTTTTCAGTCTCTCGGTTCCAGCTTTGATGCACCTATACTGACCTCGCCTTCTGGAGGTATTTTTGAGTGAGAGGTTATTTTCCTGGCACCACACTCACAGAGCCCTCACCTCCTCCCTGTAGGCTGTCTCGTCATTGTTGGTAATCAAGCCTACTACTGTTGTGTCGTCTGCAAACTTGATGATTGAGTTGGAGTCGTGGTTGGCCACGCAGTCATGGGTGAACAGGGAGTACAGGAGGGGGCTGAGCATGCACCCTTGTGGGGCCCCAGTGTTGAGGATCAGCGAAGTGGAGGTGTTGTTTCCTACCTTCACTACCTGGGGGCGGCCCGTCAGGAAGTCCAGGACTCAGTTGCACAGGGCGGGGTTCAGACCCAGGGCCTCGAGCTTAATGATGAGCTTTGAGGGTACTATGGTGTTGAAAGCTGAGCTATAGTCAATGAACAGCATTCTTACATAGGTATTCCTCTTGTCCAGATGGGATAAGGCAGTGTGCAGTGTGATGGCGATTGCATCGTCTGTGGATCTATTGAGCAGTAAGCAAATTGAAGTGGGTCTAGGGGGGCAGGTAAGGTAGTGGTGGTATGATCCTTGACTAGTCTCTCAAAGCACTTCATGATGACAGAAGTGAGTGCTACGGGGCAATAGTCATTTAGTTCAGATACCTTTGCTTTCTTGGGT